ACAGTTTTTTAGAACCTACAAAGTTTCTCTTGTCTGCAATAGATGCATTTTTGAATTTGTTACAAGAATAAATTTTATGAGTATTTTCATTGCAATAAGAACACTTTGCATGTTCACTGTTTTGGGATGCGAATGCATGAAGAGAGGTTTTTAACTGAGGTTTTGTGAATTTTGGTGTAAATTGTACACCCGTACTATTTAAGTTTTCCAACACTATACATCTTTTTTCTAAAAATTCAAAAAATTCTGAAAGTTGAGGTAATTCATCCACATTTCTCTCAGTTTCAAAGGCTCTTCTTGTACCAAAATCTATCTTTTTTCCTAACAAATATAACAAGATAAAATCTAACAATTGTTCACATGAATAATTTAAATTATACAACGAGTCTAAATTTCTCTTACAATTGGTTGAAAATTCCCTGAGAGCTGTTGAGGTGCATTTTGTGAGTGAAGGCACTTCCAAGAGAGACACTAAAAGAGTATTTATTACAGAAAGCTTATTTCCGTATCGTTTCTGCAGAATTTCTAAGGCTGTATCAAAATTATCATTTATAACTATTAAATTTTCAATTAATTTTAATGGTTCATCCCGCAAAAATGACTTCAGATAAATAAATTTCTGTATTTTTGAGAGGCTCTGATTTTGAATTATTAAAGCATCAAAAATTTGATAAAAAGGTAGCCATTCTGAAATATCACCTTTGAATGGTTTGATATGAATGTCAGGTAATTTCACATCAATTTTAGGAGAAGGGGCCACAATAGTTTGTTGTACAGGGTGTGCATTAACGCTTGGGGGAAAGGGAGAAAAACATAATTTTTTAATTTTATCTTTGATAATACCACACTTTTGATGAACAGAGTTTTCAATGAAATCACGATCCTCATTATCAAGGGTTTCATCAGCAGGAAGAGCATCTATCCTGTCTTGTATATTTTCATATGCATGAAAAGTATTTTTTAAATAATCATACTTTTCTGAGAGCTCTCCTACTTCAGCCTTATCTGCTGTTTGGAGCCAATTATTAACTCTTGTTATTTTACCCTTGATAATGGTTCGTTTGTATTTTCAATTGACTATAATCTAAATCTAAAAAATTTTCAGGAAAGTTAGACATTTTAAAATGTTTATCAATGTTCAACTGCTTACCACTTTTTTCAGGTTACCACAAGATTCACCAAGTACTCACACATTTTCCATAAGTCTCTGAGTACTTCTTGGAGTTGAGTTCAAAGTTCTATTGCTTGTCAATAGAATAAGGCACACACAAGTCAATGGTATAACACAGCAAAATGTTCAAGATTCTCTCCAAACTTATGCCATCCGGCTCGAAGGACCAATATTTTGAATGGAACAATCTTTTCTTGAGAATTGTCAATCCAAAGCTAGGGTGGATCTTACCTATTTGGTTTTCAATCCAGCAGAGGACTCCATATGTGGCTTTGTTCAATTTAATAAATGGCTTCTTGGAGAAAAATAAACATACTTTTGCATTTATACAAAACTTCAAATAAAATTGTTATTTATTATAATCTTGATAAATATCAAAAGAATTAATTCTGAAATTGACAAATATCAATAGAATTAATCCTAACTTCTTAACTTTTTAACATGTTGCACTCTGCAAATATTTCGCTTTCTGTATGCAATGGGAATTTAGGTTGAGGTTGGAAGGCGATACTGGGAAACTTCACAAAACAGTGCTTTTTTCAATCATGGGGTAATTCTTCGTGCAATTAGGGCCAATTGGGTGTTGTGCATTTTGCGCAGCTTTCGCCTTCAGTGAGAGCGTTGGGAGTTTTTTCAAAAAACTTCTTACTTTTTTTTATTAATTTTTATACTCTGGTTAACAACGAATCAACAACGGGCTATAGTAACTAGAAAAACAAAAAAATCGCCGAAAAACACCAGCATGACCATCCACGCCATGCTTGTTTTTTCGTGACAGAATGCAAAGAACGTAATGAAAATACAAACGTGAACGCCCTCTATTATTAGGAAAGAAAATTATGCAATGGCATCTTCTTTTTCAAATATTTCAAAATAGTTGCGGATGTTTCCGCAACAACTGGTACCTTTAAAAATTTGTATGGCTTAGAATACACATTTTTAGAAGTGACCAGTTTTAAAAAGCGCTTTTAAGTTGAAAGAGGATGTTGCATACAGCTGTTAGTTACTAACCAACTGACTGGTGGATTTTATTATAGATATTTTGAAAACCAAATGTCACTAAAAATTGTTGAAGAACGAGATTCATTCTTCAACGATTTTGCGTACGAGAATATGACATTCTTACATCAAAATCGAGAAAATATCATTTCACAAATAAACTCAGGAAAAAATCAAATCGATTTTGCAAAATTTGTTTCTTCTGAATATTTCCGGAAGTATTCGGCATTTTCCAAGTTTTGCCGATCCTATATCTTTTTTTTTTTGTTCAAGGGGATGGACATTAATCTATGGATCGGACTCTGAAAACCTGCTACTGCTTAGCAGGTTTGTTGGATTGGGTAGCACCAAGGATTGTTAATAGGGTGTCAGTGTGAGATGGTAAAATTCGACTAAGGAAAAGGTAAGGCTTCGATGGTAAATTTGATATTAGGATGTAAATTGTTTAAAAAGGAAGAAAAGTGACGATTGGTCATGACAAAGCAAGTTAAAATGTCATCTACACATCCGGAGATGCGTAGAGATGCCGTATACGATCACATTTTCCAACGATGTTAGTCTCATGAAGTGTAGTGTACAGTGTAGCGAAACTAGTCAACCATCCAAGGACCTTTTTTTTCAGTTATACATGTAAACCCCATACTTTGTGAGTGGCTTGCTTACATCAAGTCCTACAACTTTTCCTCTACGACTTTTCTCGGAAATGGCACGTATGCGCGCAGGCGACTCGCAAACATGTCGATCTGACGTAGCTATGTTTCCTGATACATGTAGGTAAATCTAATTTTACGAATACTGTTTGATTTTTATGTCTAAATCACGGAAATCAACTTGGCCGACAAAAATAATGGCAAATTGGGGGAGTCCGATACCCCCAAAATGTCGATCTGACGTGGTTATGTTTCTTGATACATGAAAATCTAATTTCACGAATAATGTTTGATTTTTATTTCTAAATCACGGAAATCAACTTGGCCGACAAAAATAATGGCAATTTGGGGGAGTCCGATACCCCTAAAATGTTTGCGAGTCGCCTGCGCGCATACGTGCCATTTCCGAGAAAAGTCGTAGAGGAAAAGTTGTAGGACTTGATGTAAGCAAGCCACTCACAAAGTATGGGGTTTACATGTATAACTAAAAAAAAAGGTCCTTGGATGGTTGACTAAACATGTAACTGTTAAAATTTTAATTTACTTTTTTACCATGGAGATCATTTTTCATAATGTATAGGTATCGGCTCAATCAATTCATATACATCACGACTCGACAGGATCAAACGCAGCAGATAGCCCCTCCTCTCGAGGATACTGGCCTTCCACCACGGCGCGTGTATCCTCTCTTCTGAACTTAGTATGGATTGAGGATCGAAAGCCCTTTCTCCGCCAACAGGCCTACCGCTGCGTGTATGCGTTGATGCTCTCTTCTGATTTGGGTAGGGATTGGGGATCAAACGCAGTAGAAAACCCCCCTTCCTTCAACAAGCAGTAGGTAGGGATTGAGGATCAAACGTTTCAGAATGCTTTCCACCGATCTCTCAGCCTGAGAGATCCCACTGAATCACACAGGACGCCGACTGCCAAGGAGAACCCTTCCCAGCCTGGGAAGTCAATTCAAAGCAGAAAGCCAGCCTACCAGGCCTACTGCAGCGAGACCTTCCTTTCCGAATATAGTAGCTTCATTGAGGACCTCACGCACCGGGAAGCCAGCACTCCACGGAACGCCTACAGCAGAAGATATCCTCTTGTTGGGCAGTACACCATCAAAAAGAAGCCCTATATTTAGTGGTCCTCCAGGGTAGCCAAATTTACTCTTTCAGAATGTACATCAAGCATGTTGACGAATTTTTGTCGACATTATCGGTTTTTTAGAGTCAAATAAATTGATTAGCTGCTAAGTATACCTATCCTACGATCAATCCGACGCCGATCTCTTGTTTCCAAAATTTGATTTGATAATCCATCAGTACATCACTGCACTGTGTGTGTGAATAAATGGATAAAGCTGGAATTATGACGCTAGTTATCTAAATGTACGATAAAGACAGGTTTAAGCATACTGTTCAGAACGAATTTTTCTTAGACCTGATAATTTTTTTGATGTTTTTCACATGTCATTGCTCAGAGGAGATCAACAGCTAACACAAAACAAAATAAAATGATTATTGCACCTGCATATCTGAAAAAATAGATCTGATAATGGTTGACCAAAACCAAAGATGAAACAGATTTTAAATATGGCCATGACTATTTGTAGAGAGGAAAAAGTGGCATTGAGAAATATTCGTGACCCACGAATTTGGGACACTCTGTACGGTATGGGTAACTTAAGATATACCTACATGTTAAAAGCTATTTCGCCTATCATAAGATGAAACTTCAAAATAAGCAAACAATCTAAATGAAGCATAAATCTTTAATAAAAAAAAAGTAGAATACTTACTACAACAAGATTGAAAAAGTTTTAAAAAAAAAACGTTAGATCATTGTCCAAGGATTCATTTCAATTTGATGTGCATGCCAAAATTCAAAGTATCTATCCATATTTTGAAGCCCATCAAAGATAAATAAGTTGAAATTGAATTAAAAATTGTCGCACAATTGATAATTAGTAGATACCATTCTTGTCAAGTGACTAGAATTGATTGTGAAATTTTATAGATCTGTGACGGGGCACCCCGACCAACAAAATTTAGAAAAATTAGGTTCGTTTGCCCATCGTATGCCCATGGGGATGAGCTTCTGTAAGTCTTGTTCGTGAAAGGTGGTAACTTTCTAACTAAAACACATAGTTGTCTGTGTAAATGTAAAGTGTAGATACATAGGCAGAAATAGAACAGACATGGAACAAAAAATAAAGTTTTAACAATTTTTTATTTCAACAAACCTATATAAATCTACTTTTTCTATATGCAACACTATCCCTTATCCTTCGACCTCTTAAGCACACAGCCTTTGGTAATAAACTGTCTCTAAGATAAACTCCCCTTTTTTCTGGCGTCCAGGCCTTAAATTCATAGTGTGCTAGACCACAATTTATTGCAACCCATCCTAAAAAGAGAAACAATACTGTACAAGAAAGAAATTAATATTTTTTTAATGGGAGTTTTCATACTGAGAGACAAATAATTACATACTATCAGGTCTTCAAAAAAAAAAAAACAATCAAAGATTGCTTTGAATACGAAAACGTATGTCGCATTATTGTTTCTTTATTGGTTAGGATTTTTGACATGACATTTTGACATTAAAGTTCATTGCCAAAATTGAAGAAAAATAGTGCTAAGACATACGTTTTAAAAACCTTAGCAATCTTTGATTGGTTTATTTTGAAGACCCGATATCATCAATTAATCAAATAATTCCTTAAATCTGTGAAATCCTCGACCATGTCATAAGGAACTCAAGGCGATCATAATTCTGGGTTTGCAGCAAGCATGTCCGTTCTAGATAAAAATGAATTGTTATGACGAGATGGCATGTAAAAACGCACCCCTTTAACAACAAATTTTTGGTCATTAATTGATTCTCTTGAGTTTGAGATTCACATTTTAAATATTAATAATAAGTGGGGATGTTATGCCTTGGGGGAGATATCAAATAACCAGTATTTTTGACTTGCCAGAAATTCATACTCATATATTCGTTAAGCTCCCTGCTTCTAGTCCTTATTCAATTTAGCGTTTTTGCTCCAGAAAAGAAAGGCAATCCATTATAAATTCAAAGTCAATGCTCGTACTTCTAAGCTTCTTGCCGCCATCTGTTTATCAGGAGTGATATTTCAAGAATTTATCCACAGTATCTACTTCAACCGGCAAGCCTGGTATTGAAAAAATATAGAAGTGTGCTGTGTTCTGAATGTGGACAAACATTATGATACTCTTCACGCCGTCTTTCTTCTCAAATTGCCCAAATCATATTCACAAGTTAAAAGAAGAACTACATATTCAGATACAGTAGCTTTGTCAACAATATTGTCTTAATAGTCAGCCTTGTGCCATTGAATAAAAAGGAATCCTCAGAATCTGTTCTTTTCACTCCTTTATTTAAATACCTAATTACATATCAACAACTGATCTGTTAGTCGATATATGCCTCGATATATTATGCTTCATGCTACGGGTCTCTAGTGTTTTTGAAGCCTTTCTATATGCAAGACCCTAGGCTAGTGCATACTCTGTCTATTGATCAAACCGGCAGGGACTTTCGAAAAACATAAATATTTCATAACATATATTGCCTTCTTACCTGCGTTTGAAAGAACAATATCATAACTAGACTCCTTAATACTTTTCCCAAACACTGTAAACAACTTGGATACTTCCAAACCAGGCCATTTTTGCGCCCTGGCTTCGTTGAAAATAGGGACCATAAATAGTTTAGTTCCTAGAAGCTCGTCATATACTGAATCAGCTTCCTCTGTTTTACATATTGTAATTGGTAAGGGATTTGCTTTAAAAACTGTCAATCTGAAATTAGTTTCAAAATAAATTAATTATAACTAAATATTGCACTGATATATTTTGAAGATTTCTGAGCATCATCTGCTGAGAATATGTCATATTACAATATAATACCAATTATCAAGCGTAGATTTTGTTCTGACTGGCAGCTATCTGCATAGCGTCCAATTGATTAAATTTATCCTATTTCATTGGTACTTATACTCATGGTGGACTGACGATAGCAGTAAAAGGTTTGTTTATAAACCATTTTTCCCCTAGAGAAGATTTAACAAATTTCTCGTTTGAGGGGTGTTTGCTGTCCAATCTGACGTGATGTTAAAATGTTGAAAATTTTAGCCCCCTTTCCAGGCGCCTCTCGGTCATAAGAATGTTTTTATAGAGATGCTTAGTTTCTAACAGTTCGCGAAGTGCCTGGATCAAGAACGTTTGTCGCATTCTCTTATTTAGTGATATAGTTTTGTGAATACTTTGGGCTTTGTTGGAGTGATAAAAAGAGTTGAGATAGTGCGCGAGATTGAGTGCTGTGATTTTTGTGTTATTTTTTCAAAAGTTGATTCAAATCCAGAAGAGTAGTCTCACTTATCTGTGATCCTAAGAATAAAATATAGATGTTCCTCTATGAAGATTAAAGTAAATCATTGATATAGGTGATAAACAAAATTAGGCCAACAATTTTTTCGGGGGAACTTTTATTTCACTTTTTATCGAGCCACTGAAAGTATTGTTTATGAATGAACGGATAAATGAATGAATATATTACATCATCAGCAAGTCAAAAGAAAACAAACAAATACATATATCAAAATCTAAAAATATAATCTAAAATATGCTTTTCAAAGCACTACATACACTAGCAATTATTGATCGCAACATACACCCGACACGAAAACGGAGCAGTTACAGATTTAAAAAAAAAATGAAGTGCTGGGTATGCTGGATGTGAAACAGGGGAAATCATTATCGTTCTCTATTTTACCTTAAACTTTTTCAAGACATTTCATTCTGTTACATTAAAATTGGCCCGTATATGATGACTTGTTAAACCTGTATGTACATACAGGGTGTCCCAATGTTGACCCTTTTATTAGGAAAGGTCAATTTCTGAGCGAGATTCAAAAAAATTAACCCCCCCCCCCCACTCTGAGGCTCAATTTTCATAAAATCTTGATTGGTGCAAATCGCATTTTGATATCTCCAAGAGTTCGGCCGCTAGAGGGCGATTCTCGATTTTCAGCAATACTGTGAAACCTTCATAACTTTTTTGTTTTTGTAGGACTCCCTATATATCAATAGCTCATTGGAAAGCTCTGCTTGTGCTGATTTCAATGATACAAATTTGGATAGGTTTACCTCTAACAGTTTTTGAGAAGACCACCAAGCCACTTATTATAAGGCGCTGTGTCAGAAGCTAAGCAAGGTCTAAGAGAACAGTAATGCTTTTCCCTCCTGAATACACCCTTTGATAAAACGTAACACGTTTTTATTTAATATATTGAATTCCTTAAAATTGTTGAACATTTTTTAAAAATCTTGCAAAAATTAGTGTTAAAACAAACTGGTTGATTTGGGATTTAATATTATTTTATCTCCAGAACTATAAATAGGGGTAAGTGCAGTTGTACTACCTGATGTAGAAAATTAGTTTGTTGAATACATATAGGTACTACCTACCTTATAGGATTTGGTCCTTTTACAAAATCCAACCTAGCTAATCCAGCAATAAACAAACTTGTTCCAGGTTTAATGCAATATGACTCTGGTCTAATAATTTCTTTGGGTAAGGTCTTCACAAGCTCCTCAGTGGTCAATAAATGTAAGATTTGATCTGGGTGTACAACACCAGGAGTGTCGTAGCACCATTTTCCAAAAGCAAATTCGGCAAGGTTTTCGTTTATTCCCATCTTGGTTTTGCCAGAGAGATTTGAATTACCTTAAATAAAATGAAATCTATTAAAATTATCAAAGAATCAACAAAGAAAAAGGAACATAAAACACTACACACAAGTTTTAAACGGCGTTTTCCGTTTTCTTTGATAAAATTACATACATACTGACATCTTATCCTTTGAATACTTAAGACCTTTACTTTGATGGGACTCCATCATAAACTGAGTAGGTAGGTAGTTCAAATTAAACATGTTTCTTCCTCATATTTTTCTGATTATTTTTTACAGAGGAGAAATCCCCAAATGGTTTGTAGGTTTGTTCTTTGTTCTACTTTTAATCATATTTTGTAGAATAAAGTTAGCGAGGAATAAGGAATTTGGTAATGATCGCGTATGTAGTATATAGTTAATTTGAAAATGTCGATAATCTGCATTTTTTTTCTGAGAATCTTCATAAAATATTTTGATTGTAAATAAAAGTCCATGCTGCCCCGAAACGCTAAATAGCCGAACCAACTTCTATTTTCCCAATGACCTTATTTTCCCATTTACACTTTACCTTTTATAAAATAAAATTGCAAACTCTAAATATTTGTTAGAACTTATAACAACTATCATTTTCTCCAAGTTTTTTTCTAACAAAAATTAGTGTATTCTCTGTTCACTTTTTTTGGATATCCACTTATCTTTTATTTATGATATTTAACACCTCATCTCACATCAGGCCCAAATTCAAATGGGCGAATAATCCATCAACATTTAAGTTTTCATACATTATATAGGTCCCAACTCTATAAAAAAGCCTGAGTTTGATATGCAAAATTATTATACAGTCCCTGAAATTTTCAAGAACAAGTGGATGCCAAAAAATATGACCAAAATAATCTCGTTTAAATGTAAAGTTGAGACTATGCTGCAATTTGCACTTTTGTTCCAAAGCTTAAATATAAGTTTTTCTTTTCGAAAATTGAGGAGGTTGGCTCGAAACGGGTTAGCTTACCTACTGTTGTAAAATTATCCATTAGTACATCATCTGTTGTTTTAGGTTCAATAGATCTTTCGATATGTCCCATAAGAGTGGCATATTTGGGTACATTATGTTCATGCAAAGCTTTTTCATTCAATTTAACCTGTTTATCTTCGATTTTTCTCAACTCTTCAAGCCTTTTTTGACGCACATACATGCGGTGACCAGAAAGCCTAGCCACAGGAAATTTTAATAGGTTCAAAGTTGTGCCAGGCCAAGGACTTGTTGTGGCTCTCTGAATAAGATCTGCAGCTTGAATTTTGCAGAAGTCAGATTGCAGCAGAATATTGTAGAGGCTTGACTTTCCGACATTAGTGCTTCCAATCAGATACACGTCACCTAGAAAAAAATATTTTTATTTATTTATTAACGGGTATGGCACAATTTCACAAAAGACAATATATAAGAATGAGTTAGCTTCTCCACATAAGTATTTCTAAATTGAGTGTCGCTGGTGGAGGAAGGCACATCTACACCATTTCAACCTCAATTTCGGAAAAAGTAACTTTTATTTAGGAAAATGAAAAAGTCAAATCAATTTCAGAAAAAGTAAAGTTAATTTCGGAAAAAGTAAATTCAAATTCGGAAAAAGTGAATTCAAGTTCGGAAGAAGTACCTACATTCAATTATGGAGAAAGTAATGTTATATTTTAGAATAATTCGAATTGATAAAAAGTAAATTTAGCAGTGACTATAAACCTCTACATAGAACCAAATTAAAGTACAATGACTGGAATCGAACCCGTCGGGGTACGGGTTCGACTGGAGGTTTATAGTCACTGCTAAATTTACTTTTTATCAATACTTTTTTCGAATTTGAATTTACTTTTTCCGAATTTGAATTTACTTTTTCCGAATTTGAATTTACTTTTTCCGAAATTAAATTTACTTTTTCTGAAATTGATTTGACTTTTTCCGAAAATGACTTTACATTTTTCTGAATAAAAGTTACTTTTTCCGAAATTGAGGTTGAAATGGTGTAGACCTATTTTGTTCGGCAATAGGTGATAGGAGACAACTATACTATTGATATTCAAGGCTGCTATGATATTCAATTCTAACTATTGGTAAGTCAGTTCAGGGGTATCTATGTTTTGGATATGTATATTGTAGTAGATTCCAGAAGCAAGAAGAGGTGTCCTTAATAATAACTGTTAAGTCGCTCTGACATTGATATTAGTAAAGCTGGTCATTCGCTTTATAAAGCCGAGCAGCTGAAGAGATTTTGATAGGGCTCCAGAATAAGGCCTAAATCTTTAATTTCAGGGACATTAGAGAGTTTATTGATTCTGATCGAATAGCTCTTTGAGGTATTCAGATTTCAGGTCCATCCCATTCCTATTGCACCAATTTATCAGGTTATTCAAGTCAGACTTTAGTTTTAAACAATCTTCTGATGAGGTTACTTCGATGTACTTATATATATAGTTTCAAATCATTCGAGGAAAGGAGTAGCTGTGTTCAAAATGCAATACCAAATCGTTAATGACTAGGTTGAAAAGAAGAAGGCCCAGGTGCGACCTTTGGGAAATGACGGATGGTACTTCAATGTTTTTGGATTGAAAACTATTGAATGGAACTATTTGGGAAAGCAGTGTTAGATTACTTTTCAACAAAGGCAGCACGAATCTCCAAGACCCAGAAGATCCAGCTTTGGTTAGAAGAACAGCATGGTTAAGCCTATCAAACGCCTTGGAAATATCGGTGTAGATTCGCTCCAAGAAGCTAGACATAAATTCAACCTACGCCAGCGCAGATTAAGTTCGTTAATGTTTCTGGCTCGAAAGCCATGCAAACTGTTTTGAAGTAACATGTGGTCTCAGAATTGAAGTTGAATATGTTCAAGTACTTTGAAATGGCACTCAGAATACGAATTTGTCGATATCTTGGTATCAGATTTTTTCCCTGATCATGAATTGGTGTAGGGTAACTTAGTATGCCGGGAACAAAGCTACATACTTTTTTCGAGCAGTAATGACAGTAGGCAGGCCATCAGAGCCTGGTTCATTTTTTGTGTTAAGGGATTTTAAATGCAAGTACCTATAACGTGTGCCCCAATTCAGATCCTTACCATTAGGATCTTGGTTATTATGTTATTGTAAGAGATAGAGACTTGGATAGAGAGTAAAAAAAAATGCGAAAAACACAGGAATTGCAGACAAATACGTTGAGCAAAGGCTTGAAGGAATATGCCTGGATTGACAGAAATGTTTGGAGATCAGGAATCGGAAGACCGTGGAACGTTACAAACCTAACTGCTGCTGCGGGAACTTTATGTGTATGGATTCCGAGGAGTTACTTAGGTTTGGTTCAAATCATACCTTTCAGAAAGGAATCAAGTGGTGAAGTGTGGTGCAACTAAATCTAATGCATGTGGTATTGATTATGGAGTACCACAAGGTTCAGTGCTTCGCCCACGCCTGTTTTTAATATACAGGGTGAGCGAGGGGTGTGTCACTTCTGGAATTACATGTACTTTTTCTTGATTGTATTGTGGAAGTCAAAGGAATTCGCTTAGTAGTCATTGGAAGTTTGGCAGTCAGTGGCGGAATTCCGCGTAGTCGCTAGAACTCACTTGACAGTCACTGGAAGTCGCGCGGTAGTCGCTGGAAGTCGCGCGGCATTCATTGGTATTCACGTCAATTTTGAGGAGTTTGGTCGCGGCATTCGCAGTCACTTGCCACACGCTTTTGATCGCGAATTTGATGTGTGCAATATTTATATAGAATCCTCAATAGAAACAGTTGTTTAATTGCTTGACATCATATTTGAAACGTTAGTGACGTAGTAAGCAACATGAAAAACTTGTAGAAGCCTGAGCACAGAGATTCAACGCAGATGAGCGTTTGGAAAATAATTTCTCGACATCTTTTTATAATGATGGAAGCCAAGAAAATGAATCATAATCCCTCGGACAATCCATATAACGCATATAAAAAATTTAATTCATACTTGTTCTAGTAATTTTTTATATAATTTGGGAGACCTTTCAAAAGACTTAGAAATCAAACGAAAACGATCTTTAGCTAATATCGAGGCTAATATAGACAAAATGGCAGTGGTTTGTGGTATTAAAAGAGGGAAATTCATGAATATGATGCCCAGAGTGTGATTTTGTTACTGTTAGTTTAGTCTTAATACCCACAAAAAAAATGGGTTTGCTCAAATTTTAATAGGCATATCAAGACCCATTTTTCTCAAGCTAGTAAAAAAATCACAAAGACCAAAAAGGATCCCCAAAAAACCCAAGCATTCTCTCATACCTCCAAAAAAAGACCTTCATCATCGAGCTCAGTATCAGAGATACCATCATCATTTGACATTTCCGGTATTATCGTCAGTGTTAGGACCTCTTATTATTTTGCCTGGATCATCCAAGGAATCATATGTCTCCTTGATTACAGGAATCAGCCTTGATAACATTGATGAAGATATACTGGAAGTTTCTGAGTTGATTGAAGAGGACGCTTGCGAAGATCTAGAGAAACTAGGTGGGAATCAAAATTTTGTACATGGCAGAACAACTAAAGGTGAGATGGAAGACAGTTGTTCTGCCTCAAGAAAAAACCCTTTCTCGTTATCATTCAACCCCCAGAGGCATCATTACAAGGAACCATCGATTAAAAACACAAAGACTTCTCTCTCTCTCTCTGCAATTTTAGAAGACCTTCTTATTTATTTATTAATCAAGATGTCCAAAAACGAAAAATACTTTCTATAGGCAGTTTTTCAAGGATAATCCAGTGGCATGACCAATTTTTCTCCAGATGCCTCCGATTTTGGAATATCGACGAAAGTTGTATTTTTTTAATATTTTTTTCATTGAATAGCTCTTTGTGAGCTAATTTCAATGATATAAGGTTTTATACCTTTACCTTCTATAGTTTTGGAGAAAAAAAAGTTAATTCCGTTTTTCCATAAGAAACAATGAGCTAGAGAGAGGTAGGTCATAAATTATGTGTTGGCTATTTATCACCCCCAATTCATAGTTAAAATCTCGGTTGAAATTAAAAAAAATATATTAGTTGAACTGAAAAATTAAATTAAGAATTAAGAAATTTGTAGCCGATTCATAGTTCAACTATCTCTTTCTAACTCATTGTTTCTTATGAAAAAAACGGAATTTATTTTTTTTTTCTCCAAAACTATTGAAGGTAAAAGTATAAAATCTTATATCATTGAAATCAGCTCACAAAGAGCTATTCAATGAAAAAATAATATACGGGGTGTCCCATTTGAAAAAACACAACTTTGGTCAATATTCCAAAATCTGTGGCATCTGGAAAAAAAATTGCTCATGCCACTGGATTCTACTTGAAAAACTGCCTATAGAAAGTATTTTTCGTTTTTGGATATCTTGGATAATAAGGAAATTAGAGAGTCTTTTAAAATTGGACAAAATTTGAAAAGTGCCCTGTATTTCCTAAACGCATCAAGTTAGCCGTGATTTGTCTTCGCCATTGTTTTTTTCCTAAAAAAGCTCAAGAATGTGCTCCCAGATTTTTGATATCTCTGCTGGTATTTGATATAGCCCATTAAAATATCGAAAATGGGCCACCCTGTACAAGAGTCTGTGGATAGTGGATGGAACTTCTAAAATAAATATTAGTTGTCCTAGCGTTTTAGTTATTTCCTGATTTTCTCTAAACACAGTTTAAAAAAAAATATATATATTTTTCTCCAGAATTTTCTATATAATTGATTAACTGACGTCTAAAAGTTGGAGCAAAATGTACGGAAATTATTTAGTTCTTCGAAATTACATGGTATATTCTAGTAAAAATAGTATAAGAAGTAATGGTAGTCATACTGCAGTCACAGGAAGTACAGGCATTCATTGAGAAGTGATTGACATGCAGTTGTAGTCAGTAGAACTCATCCCCCTTTTTGGCAGTCTATGGATTTTTTTGGCAGTCGCAGGAATTTTTTGGCAGTCGCAGGAATTCAGTTAAATAGGTTTTGTTTTGGAATTACATGTACATATTTTGACACAGTGACACACCCCTCGAGGGTGAGTTACTAAGCAGACGGTTCATATCTCCTATACTAACCGAGATCGGAGAAAAAACTAAATACAAAACTTGTAGATAAACATGAGTACTACATTCCTAAATTATTTTACCAGTATAGGGTTGCCCAATAACTAGCAGATACACAAAGTTATGTTTTTTTTAATGGCTCTCCCTGTATATTATGACATTTCTGGATTCTGCGGAAAATTCTAGACATTCATGTATAATGTCATATACCTATCTTCAACTGTTTCGGAAATATTGACAGTTGACAACTGACTTTTTTGCATCTTTGACAGACTGTAAAACCTGAACGGTTAATTTTACAAGAAAACGGATTTTACATTCCTATCTTAGTTTTTCATAAACTATCATTTGGCACCGAGTTTGGCACCAATCTTGAATTTAATCCATGAATAAAAAATCCGCCTAAATTATTAATCTTCGGTTAAATTCAAAGTTGGTGTCAAATGATAGCTTATAAAAATCTAAGATAGGAATGTAAAATCCGTTTTCCTCTAAAATTAATCATTTAGGTTTCAGAGTCTGTCAAAGATGAAATATGCAAAAAAGTCAATTTTCAACTGTCAATATTTCCGAAACAGTTGAAGATAGGTATATGACATTATACATGAAATATGTCTAGAATTTTCCGCAGAATCCAGAAATGTTACAATATATAGGGAAAGTCATTTAAAAAACATAACTTTGTGTCACTACTAGTTATTGGGCCACCCTGTATATGGAAAATAATTCAGGAGTGTAGCACTCATGTTTATCTACAAATTTTGTATTTGGTTTTTTCTCTGATCTCAGTTAGTATAGGAGATATGGACCACCTCGCGATTAGTAACTCACCCTGTATATTAACGACATTGTATCTATTGGAATTAGTGGTAGTTTTACATTGTTTGCCGACGACACAACAATCTTGTGGAGGGAAAAAGATACACAGACATTGAACAACAGGGTATCAGCGGATACAGGGCTGGTGAAACAATGGTGTGATTCTCCCTGTCGTTTTATGTTAGCAAAACCAGCATCCTCACATTTAAATGCACGATTCCAGATGTATCCTCACTGAACAGCATCATTATTGAAAATAGACCAATTGAAAAGTTTCTAGGCTTACATATTGACATCAAATTAAAGTTTTCAGAACATATATTACAGATGAATGAGAAACTTTCATCTCCATATTATGCAGTGAGAATTGTATCAAACAGCTTGGCTCATTCCATGGTGAAAAATGTGTACTGCTTCTTAATAGAATCTAACATCAGGTATGGTATTCCCTTTTGGGGCTTTAGTGCTCAATGTCATATCCACTATGTTTTTGTATTACAAAAACGTTCTCTAAGATGCTTAAGTACCTACTTCAAATCAAATCAAATCAAATCAAAATATGCTTTATTGTCTAAGTAGATAAACTCTTATTGACAAAGCTGAATACTATAAATAGATATTAATATAAAAACAATATACAATAAATTAATAAAATTCACATACAATCAATAATAATAATAATACTAGAAATACTAACAACAATCCAGGACTCAGAACATGAATAAAAAAAAATTTTAAATATCGAACACATATTTTTTTTTTTTTTTTTTTTTTTTTGTGTGGAGCGAAACATCAAGAACATTGCAGACCTCTTTTTATAAGGGAAAAATTACTGACTTTCTTCTGGCATAGAATTTCACCTTATTTGTGCAATCAATATGGTCAAAATGCAGGATCTTTAAAATTACCAATACCCGAGCCAATACCAAAGAGTACTCTCACTAAACAATCTGTGATATATGAGAGCCTTAAGATGAACAATCAGTTACCATTCTCATTTAGGAGTATAGAGAATAATAAGAAATTCAGGCAGGTGAAATTGTTATTGCAGGCTAAAGCATATTATAGTAGTATTAATGAGTACTTTAATGATAATATTACTGAAGTTGGATTGCTGTAGTAATGATCTAGCCTGATGACAGTGTTTCCTTTTTTTTTGGTCATTTTTGATTTTGCTTTGTTTTTAATAGTTTTATACATGTGTTCTTATTTTGAACTTTCTTTCTTTTTTTCGTGATTTTATTAAGTAACTAAGTATTTTTTAAGTATTCCTGCGTAGCTTATAGATGCCCGCTTTGTAAATGAGAATTTTATTCTTTCTACAATAAAGCATATATTGATTGATTGATTGATTGATAATTACACACATATATATAGTTTCTAATTAATAATATTTGTTGACGATTTTTTTATTTTGAGTACTAGATAATTCTTCGATATGTACTTTTTGTTTACATCCATATTTCTTGAAATCTGTCCGACCAAACTACAGAGTAAAAACCAACATATGAACATAGGTATCCTTCTAGGCTTCTAGAGACCCGTGTGAAGTAAGCAACCAAAACTTGAAGCTAATTTGACGGAATCATCCGAACGTACCATTTTTTTAAATTCTTAACAAATAAAAATGCATAAATATTGAGATTTCCATATTTTTTCCCAACTTGGACTGCAAGTCTGGCCATGAAATTAATAGGGTACTATTAATATTATTAATACCATTTCCGATCCCCATACAAAATCACATTGACTCAAACCCCAAGAAAAATAAAAAACTACCGTTAACAAATGAAAATGAAATGCAAAAATATTCAGATTTTTTGTATTATTTTCCAACTTATTTCGAGTCCAGCTATGAAATTAATAGGGTACTATTTTACCACCATTCCCAATCCTCATGGAAAATCCCGAGGAATATCCCATTGACTCAAACCGAAATATGAAAAACTACCCTTAAAAAATAAAAATGCATAAATATTCAGATTTTCGTAATTTTTCATAACTTGTACTTTGAGTCTAGCCATGGAATTGATGGGTTACTATTTTAACTCCTTTTCCCGACCTTATGCAAAATTCCACTGGCTCACACTGGCTGGCGAAATATGAAAAACAGAAAAACTAAGTACCGTTAACAAAAATAAAAATGGGATTTTGCATGGATGTTGGAAATTGTGTTAAAGTAGTACCGTAGTACCCTATTAATTTTATGTTAAAATGGTATCCTATCAATTTCATGGCTAGACTCGATGCCTAAGTCTAAGTACCTATAATTTATTTATTAAACGCCAATGCTTGTTTGGGTGTTTCCATAAAATTGGCTGCCAAGTTTTGGCTGCTAACTTCACACTGACCTACTAGGGATTTGGGGGCTGTTACCATTGTATCTGTTACTTACAAAAGGGAATAGAGTTTTCTCAAGATGCATATTTTTATCTCCCCTATCTCAGGATTTTAAAATAAGAGGCAAGGCAATGTATTATTTTCAAGATTTTATGTTTGACTTAATTAGGATTTGTAAAATTTACTGGACATGAATCATCTCCATCCGAGTCTCCATCTCTATCAGTAGCCCAGTAGCCAATCCAATAATGGTGAATGTTAAGAAGACAAACAGAAATTCTTTCCAGGAAAGAGATTCCAAGGAAAAATAAAACTAGGCTCCGGAAATAATTAGAGCGAGAATTAGAGTCTAGCCCCAAGTTTTGAGAAAAAAAAATGGAACAGTAGAGGTTAGTATAGTTTTACACAAGGAAAGTTGTTCAGGTAAAGCATAAGATAAGACCCAAATGGTTCACCTAAACTACTTTTCAAGCGTTACTTAAACTACAGTGAGTTTGTGAAAAAGTAATATTTTACCAAGGATCTTAAGTACTGACTGAAATTGTTATAGATACCCTTCTCTTCTACTTCTGAGATAACAAACAATGTTAAAACACACAAACAAAATATCAAACAAAAATATACCTTTATATCTCCACACTTTCTGCAACGCTGAAATTAAATTTTCTACCCCAAATCCCGTTTTAGCTGAAATCAATTCAATGTGTTTAATATTGGCAGAACCAAATCCGTTCATCTTTAGGTTATCTAGAAGAACGTCCTTAACTCTTTTCAAATAATATCTATCATCCTTTGGCAATAAATCAACTTTGTTTCCAACAACCACTAGTGGCGCTTTTGGTCCTAATATGTCAGCAATTCCTGGCCATATTGAACAAGGAAAATCTGTTAAATCCACTATTAAAACAGTAAACGCTGAGTTAAAAGATATATTTTGTAAAATTTTTGGATAATCATCTGGCGAGACTCGCACTTGAAGAGCGACATTATATTCTTTTAAAAAATGACAACGTTGGCAAAGAATTGATTCCAAATTTGCACCACCTGGATTAAAACAGTTTTTAAATATTTCTGATGGTATGTATCCTGGTATTGCAGTATCCTGACAGTGAAGATGAGCTCCACAACCACCACAAGGTTTTTTGCTCATTGGACATTTAGGATCTGGTGTTCCATAATTCACTTCAGAGTTATCAGACTCATCATATATTAGGTCTTGTTCATAATTTTCATAGTGGGTCATCCAGTTTTCATTGTTTTTGTCCAAAAATTTTTTCTTTGCTTCCAATTCATCTTTTATTGTGATTGGTTCAGGTTTATTTAGTTTAACAAAATTAATATCATCTACTTTGGTATCAAAGTTAAGTGGAAAGCTCGGTGGAAAGTTTGTAGAAGGCTCTGCCTCTTCTGTATCTACGATATTTTCTTTATCCATTATTAATTTTCCTGGCAATGTTTGTTCCTCGGTTTGTTCACAATTATTGTCATCCAGGGAATATTTTAAAGATATCGGTAAAGGTTGTACAGTTTGGAGTGCTATTCTCATACGTTCCTCAAACCTTGACCGATTAGATAAAGCGGCTGCATTTTTCTTAAAGCCAAAATTCATTCTTCGTGACTCAATAAAGCTGTTATACAGTAATTTTGGTTCATACTTTTTAATCAGCAGATTTGATTTCTCTTCACATGATTTACTTTCAGCAGCTAACTTGGAAATTCTTTTACTGAAAATCCTAGTGCGAAAACAGCAATAACTTTCTTTTATCGGAACTTTGGAAATTCTCTTGAGTAGGAACATTTTCTATTTTATTTTGAAGAAAACCGAAAGTTGATTTTCTCGTGAAATAGTCCAGCGGATTCAAAGAATACTCATTAAATTAAACTGAAGTTAAAATTACAAGAAAAGCAAAATTCGTTTAAAGTATTGTAAAGAGGAAGTCAAGTTAAATCAGCAATAAACATAAAACACACTTCAAACCGAAACCACAATAAAATAAATAAACAATAAATAAAACTTGAAAATGAGGTTATGTAACCTGTCGTGAGTGACGTCACCCTGGATGCGTGTCAAGGATCTTAATCTGAATACACTACTACACAGGATTGCTTATCGGCCTCGTTTTTGGGAATTGCGGCCATTTTTGTAGCACCATTGACGACGTCATCGGTCATCAATTACGTCGTCAGCTATTGCGCCAGCGGTCGTAGATAGAGATACATTTATGATGAAAAATACTTCTGTCTCAAAATTGAAAATAAAAGTCAATAGGACATGTTGGCAATAATTCCTTTCGAAAAGTGTTGGTTGCACCTTGCACCACGCATCTCTGCCTTTGAAATCGGGGTCGACTAACCGTGCGTTCGGTATTTTGATCCGAGTTCTCCGAACTTGAATATACCGTTCGGTTATTTAAAAAGTGTACTCGGTGCACGCTCATTCGCGTTCGTTTATTGAAATTTCTGGCACTCTGATACAGCGTTCAACTGTTCTGTTCGCTCGCTGGTCACGTGATTACGGCTCCGCTCAGCACGCTCTGAGCTGCTTTCCAGTATGCACATTGGCGCGCTCTAGAGCACCTCGGGGGCGCCACGCACTAGATTTGTACTAGTGGATTTGTACCGTTCCAGTATCATGAAGTGAGACGCCTGTCTTAGTGTCAAATATGTCAAATTTTAAAAATAATTATCTGTTTGTTTGTGCAGTTTGTTTTTTTATTTATCATAAATGAAAGAGAATCAAAACTATATTTTTTAAAATGTTCAATCTTGAGATATAACAAGAAATAAATAAATAAATAGCCGCCCACGGATGTGACAGCTGACAGTTTGACGCGTACGTACAGCTCGGGAGCTCAACGTCCCGAGTAGCTCCGGGCGTCCCACTCTCATACTGGAAAGCGGCTCTGGTCTTTGTGCAAAATACCGAACGCAAGATAACAACGGAGCGAGTAGCTCGAGTGTTCCTAACTCTAAATTGGTTCAAGCCGTTTCGAAATACAATCCAATCAACGTTTTAAAACCATTTTCTCTCGCCGAGAAGTTATGACGTCATTGTGAAACTGTTTCAAACCAGTTTAGTAAAATGTTTCAAAACTTTAAGCATTTTTTAGCGAGATCCCAGTAATAACCGTTTATAATAACCCGTGCGGTTATACACGGTTACACTCCCACTTCAAAAATATATCCCGACCATTGGCAGATTTCTAGGATTAAACTACAGTGGCTAAATAAACCTTTACATACAGTGGCGACAATAGAGGTCCCGCCGCCATTTTGTTCCCAACCTCTTGTTACTTTTAAATATGAATTTATAGGATTTGAATGGACATTTTTTATGAAAAATTGAAATCGACGTATTTGATGACTATTATTAGGTCCATCAAATACATTGTTTTCCATGTTTTATGATGGATGTTCACCTAAATTCCATATATTCATTTTTGACATAAGCAATAGGTGGGAACAAGATGGCGGCGTTTTCTATATAAATATATGGGATTTTAGAACCAATCAAAAATAAGACAACAATTGTCGCCACTGTAGGTAATAGAGTCACTGTAGATTAAACCGCTTCTCTCTAAAACGGAACGGTTATCAAAATTTTACAGTAAAGTGAGGTTAGTTTATATTTTGTGGTAAACATTAGGCATAGGTTAATGTCATAACCGATCCGCCATATTAGTTTGGGGGGCACACAAAAGCCAAACATAACCTGATTCAATGTTAAACCAAGAATTTTCAATCTATTTTGTGAAGATGCCTTCTTTTTGCTGCGTTGTTAGGTGCTCTAGTAGAGCGGAAAGAGATAAAGAAAGGTTTTTCAGGATCCCAGCAGCATTAAGAGATCTAGGGAATCGTCTAAACGAGCTAAAAAAGGAACGACGAAATCTGTGGATTAAATGCCTCAAAAGGAGAGATTTAACTGAAACGTTTCTGAAAAATGCTCGTATTTGTTCAAAACATTTTGTTAATGGTAAGTATTATGACTGTCTTGTTGTTAAAATACAAAAACACATTTATATCGAAAAATTGGTTTGTTTCTACAAGTAATATTTACTTTTAATACCTTTTAGGTAGTCCAGCAGAACTTGAATAACCCTTTATACGCCTTCAACTGCAAGCCTGTGTTGTAACTGTGGGTGTGGGTCAAATATTCGGATAAATCCAAAATTGAAACCTCTGGCAACTCATTGATACTTAAAGTAAACTCATTAGGTAGAAGTTTATAAGGATCTATATTGGCAATTATTTGTATTTTTTGGTCATACCGACATTTCACATCACTAGCTAACGATGAATAATAGTCAATGTTAGCCATTCTACCACAAAAACAAGTTAAAACTTATTGAAAGAATTTAAGAACGCAAAAATTCGGAAACACAATCTGAAAGAACGGTGTAAATACTGATCTAGGCTTTGTTTGCCCCCCAGCGGACCTGTCAAAGTCACGTGACCTGGAATGCCTAATAAAAGAAATGAAGTCAATAATTTATGTCCTTATTACGAATTGACGATATTATGTTTGAAAACACCCTGCCTGTATATTCTAATATAAACTTTTTGACTGTCGTTTGTTGCTGCAGTGTGATTGGCCCGCATATTTTGATAACATTTGACATAACCTCAAAATATTTTTCGTATTCATTCTTTTTCTGTTTATTTTGTGCTCAGAGTCAATGGTTTATTTGATTTATTTTTATTTGAAATAAATTTGAAAAAAAGACTCACAAAATTAACAACAATAGAAAGGTTCAAAATTTTAAAAATTTGGTTGTTGCGCATCATGTCAAATAACCTGTTTTCATTGGCCAGGCGCTCGAACGCGAGCGTCGAAGATAAAACTTGGCCATCTCCAGCGCGGACTCGGGCGCGAACTCGAACGCGGGCGCGGGCGTTTGTGTTTATAAATCAAACTTCGTGATCTGCTTCATTTATGTTGGGCGTGAGCGCGAGCGCGGGCGCGGGCGCGGACGTCAGAGTTTATAAATCCAGCTTAACACATCAAAACGATCATAAATGAATCTAAGGTTAGAATTTTTCAGTTACTCAACTCTCGACTTGGGTATCAAAAACAATAACCGTGTTATAGAATGATGACGTCACTTTATGACAGCAAAACACCTTCCCCTATTACCGTTTTCTCGCAAAAACGGATCGGTTATGGATTTCCTGTAACCGCTTGTAACACGGGAACTTACGGGAGCTCGCTAAAAAATGCCTTTTGAGACGCGAGAAAATACCTAAGGTCTTCTGTGCGCACAGAAATCACAAACCAGTCAGAGCGAATTTTATTAGGCAATCTACTGACCTGTCAAAAACGAAATTCAATATGGAAGTTCGGGTAAAGCATTACATCTTTTCACGTCGCTCCGGTTTAAACTAACCAGGTTACAAAACGGTTAGAGGCGGTATGTCAACTGATGACATTACTGAAAATGCCACTTGAAAACGAACGGTTAGAAAATAGTTATTTGTATACCAAGGCCGCGAAGTGCCTTTTAGCGTACGTAGAGAAAAGTTATCGCCGAGGCCGCTTGCGGCCGAGGCAAGATAATCTCGAGGACGCTAAAAAGTTTCGCGGTCATGGTATACACACTATTTTTTGTGCAACCATGAAAATTATGTGGAATTATAGAAAAAATGTACTCCTTTCAACAAACATGTGGAACTAATTACCAGTTTGATGTATAACCTGGTGGCTATGGTGGCACAGCGTTTCCATGGATGTCATGGATGACATATTTTGCAAGTAAACAAATACACAAAAAATTTTGACGGTTCTCAAAAAATCGTGAAAATATCCGACAGCGATACAGATGTTTCACTCTCTTGTACTCCTCCAGAGCTAAAAAATATGGTTCAATCAGCTATTTCTGAGTTAATACCTGGAAAACTAAGCGGCAATATGAAAATTGTTACTGTGAGTTCAAAAAATTGGTGTGACAAACAAAACGTCAAAATGGTGTCTGAAAGCATATTGGCTAATTTAATGCCGAAATGGGAAGTTTTGAGAGTTCAATTCAAAAACACTGGATTATTAGTTGCTTCAGCTTCAGGAGTAAATATTAGTAATAATGCAAACTGTCATGTAAGTGTTAATATTTATCCTAAATAATTTATGTTGTTCTGAAGAATTTGGAAATAAAATTTACTTATTGTTGTTGTCAAAGTGTCAAATTTTGATTTATAGTTTCGCGGCCGTCACCAAAGGCAACGGCCGCGAAATTGAATTTCGCGGACTGTGTGGCGGCCGCGAAAGCTCATTTTGCGGATGGTTGCACAAAAATGTTATTTTAAATTCGATTTGAGGTTGGGTTGGTCAGTGCCGTTAATTCTGACCCCTGACCTATCTATTATGTCTACTATAGACAAAACTATATCAAATGTGAGCAATTCACAATTAATTAATATGTGAAGAAATATGGGAAGCAAGTTTTTTTTTCAAAATTGTGGAATTATCGAGTATTCCATTCTTTTTTATTACAGCAAGCTAAAAAGTGAAAAGTAGGTAGTTTAATTTCTTTTCTTTCAATGCTTTAGATGTGGACCATGGGTGGATAGACCTACTAGAACAAGTTTATCTAAAGTTTATAAGTTCTCGTTACCTACAGTCTACAACAGCCTATCGAGTAGGTATTTAAACTGGGATTGTCTTGTCACTGGTACATATTTTGAGTATAATACAGTGTGATTTACGTACCTAGTCCGTGCATCAGCAGATAGATTAGGGTAGGTTTCCCAATAGCAGGCCACCCCCTGGTTAAGCATAACTCCAGGGTAAACATAGCAACTGCAACTGCACACGCTTACCCTGGAGTTGAAAGTAAAACCAACCCGGTGGTGACCCGCTATTGAGAAACCGGCACTAGGTGGTATTTACTTATGCTAATCCACCTGCAAACTGAACAATTTCTAATGCACGGGCCTCGTAAATCAGGCTGTATACAAAGAAAAAGGACTTTCGGGCTTCAAATTCATAAAATATAATATACTACTCAAAACGAAATAAGGACCACTTTTAAGAGCAGGGTTTTCATTAAATTTTGAATA